AATGTTCCCTCTGCACTTGAGAAGAATGTGCATTCTCCTGTTTTAGGATGAAGTGATCTATATATGTCTATTAAGTCCAATTGTTTTAGTTTTTCGTTTAGCTCCACTATTTCTTTGTTGATTTTCTGTCTGGATGATCTGTCCATTGATGTGAGTGGGGTGTTGAGGTCCCCTACTATTATTGTGTTGTTTTTAACATCTTCCTTTAGGTCTGTTAATAGTTGCTTTATGAACCTTGGTGCTCCTGTGTTGGGTGCATAGATATTTATAAGCATTATTTCTTCTTGATGAAGTGTCCCTTTGATCATTATATATTGTCCCTCTGTGTCTCTCTTTACCTGCCTTATTTTGAAATCCGTTTTGTCTGATATAAGAATTGCAACACCTGCTTTTTTTTTGCTTGCTATTAGCTTGAAGTATTGTCCTCCACCCCTTCACTCTGAGCCTGTGTTTGTCCTTGGGGCTGAGGTATGTTTCCTGGAGGCAACAAATTGTTGGATCTTGTTCTTTAATCCATTTTGCCACTCTGTGTCTTTTTATTGGAGAGTTCAATCCGTTTACATTGAGGGTGATTCTTGATGCATGTGGACTTAATGCTGTCAATCTGTCGCTTGTTATCTGGATTTCCTGCATTACCTTTGTTTCTCGTCCTGTGTGCTTTAGCCTACCCATTGAATACTGCAATTTCTTATGCTGGCTTTCTTAGATTTTTCCTTATTTATGTTTTCTGTCTCTGTTCTGTTTTTTAGTTTAGTGGTGGCGACCCTGAAGTTTGTATTTAGAATCTCGTGTATAATATAGTCTCTTCTCTGGTGCTCTCTTACTTACTTGGCCTAGACTGATTTAGTCCCTTTGTTCTTCCCCTCCTAAATTATTATTTTCATTTCTTACTCCAACTCATGTTATGAGTTTGTAGTTAGAGTGATAAGATCATCTTTGCTTTGGTAGTTTCCTCACCTTTATCCTAATGCTACAGTTGAATATTTGATGTCCTATTCTGGTTCTATCTATGTGTCTCCCTACTCTCTGGTTTGTGACCCCTTTCTCCCTTTTTTCTTTTTTCAGGTATGAGAACCTTCTTGAGGATTTCTTGTAGTGGAGGACTTCTGGTTACAAATTCTCTTAACTTTTGTTTGTCTGGAAAAGATTTAATTTCTCCCTCATATCTGAAGGATATTCTTGCTGGATAGAGTATTCTTGGCTGAAGATTTTTATCTTTTAAAGTTTTGAATATGTCAGTCCATTCCCTCGTAGCTTGTAAGGTTTCTATAGAGAAATCCGCTGAAAGTCTGATAGGAGTTCCTTTATAGGTTATTTTCTTCTGTCTTGCTGCCCTGAGTATTCTTTCTTTGTCTTTCATTTTTGCCATTTGTACTACTATATGCCTTGCTGTAGGTCTTTTTACATTGACAAATCTAGGAGATCTGAAAGCTTCCTCTACACACATTTCTCCCTCAATCCCTAGATTTGGGAAGTTCTCTTCTATAATTTCATTAAGCACACTTTCTGCTCCATTTTCCTTTTCCACGTTCTTGGGAATTCCTACGATCCTTAAATTGTTTCTCCTCATTGAATCTGCTGTCTCTTGGAGATTTTCCTCATTTTTTAAAATTCTTAGTTCTCTTTCTTCCTCTGTCTGGAGCCATTCAGCCTGTCTATGTTCGATTATGCTAATTTTCTCCTCTATGGTGTCTACACGGGCATTCAGGGAATCCATATTCTGTTTTATCTGGTCCATTGTGTTTTTCATCTCTAGTAATTCTGTTTGATTCTTCTTTATAATTTCCATCTCTTTTGTGAAGTAACTCCAGACTCGTTGGCTTGTTTCTCTATCTTTCTCTCTACCTCATTGAGTTTTTTGATTATATCCACTCTGAACTCAATTTCACTTAGTTTAGCTATTTCCAAGTCCTCAGGACTTAATTCTGTGTTTTTATTGTTTTCCTTCTGGTCTGGAGCTTTTATAAATTGCTGGATGGTACAGCAGCGGTTTTTTCGCATGATCGTAGAATTCGGTTGCAGTTACAGCCTGTTGCCACTAGATGGGGGTCAAGAGCCGCGCATTCTGAGCTCTCTGCCTTTGGGCAAGATGGCGGTGCCCAGCACGGTTTGCCAGGGGAAGAGGCAGTTTCTCTTGCGCACCGATCTGAATTCGGATCAGCTCTGTTCTCTGGACTTCCGGGGCCCTGGCTTTATGGGGTCTCTGCACACAGAAGCTTTCCCCCATCAGCAGGTTTCCACTGTACCGGCGGTGGGAGTCCTGGACTATCCCCCAGTGTTGCGGCCCCTCCCCCGCTCCATCCCGCACCTGTGGCAGCGATCCCAGTCTCTAGGGGAGGGAGCAAAATTTTCTCCTACCCTGTTCCAGCTCGTCCAAGGCCTGCTGCAGCATCTCTGTCCTCCGTCTTTTTGGTGCCGTGGGTCTCTGACGGTCTGGCATTAGGTTTATTCCTGAAATTCAGTTTTTTTCCAATCCTTTGTTGTAGTTTGGAGGGGAGAGATTCCCGGGTCAGCTCACCCTGCCATTTTGCTCCCCAAACAGCATTGATATTTAAGGGCTGAGCAAAGGAGGAAGAATGCATGATGGAAATGGAGGAGAAACAAAGAATGGGAGGAGAACTGGGAAATGTGGAAATCAACAAAGGGAGTCATCAACAGAGTTGTGTTCAGCAGAGAGCTCTAGGGAAATAAAGACTGAAACATTTTGCTGAATTGGGCAAAGTGAAGCCGTGGTTACCTTTGAAGACGTTTCAGTAGATTAATGAGGACAGTAGTTATATTGTAGAGTTTTGAGAAATGGGTAAAAGTGAGGATGAGAAGGCAGTGGATATAGACTACTCTTTCAAGAATTTGGCTTAGAATAGAAGTTGGAAAGATAAATTGCTGCTGGAGGGAAACATAGGGTCAAGAAAGGTTCCTTCTTTTCTCATTCACAAAAAACAGGATGGGAAGTACTTGAGCATACGTCAGGCCAATAGAAAGCTTTGGTTGGAGCTACAAGAGAATGAGATAACTTATGAAGCAAGGTACTGGCGGATCCGGAATGGGTGGGATTAAGATCTTTGGAGGAGGACCTGCTTTGACCAGGAAGAATTAACAAGAGGCAAGCATAGGCACAGGTATAAATAATTTTGTTGGAGGTTGGATAGGAAGCTAAGATGACCTTATTTTTCTTGATCAAGGAAGAGGAGAGTTATTTGCTGAGAGTATAGGGAATGGAAATTTGTAGAAAACTTGAGGATGTTTAAGAAGATAATGATTGTCTACTGTCTGCCAAGGTATTAAGCTAGGTCCTTAGGGGAATACAAACTAGGCAAAAGTTGATGTGATTGCTCTCCTAATAGAGCTTACTACCTAATGGGAGAGTGAGACATTAATCAAGTAGTCACACAAACCAATATAAAACTGGTAAATATTTCAAAGGGGATTAAGTGAAAGGAATAGAAGAGAGAACTGACCAGGGACCAGTCAGAGGAATACTGGTTAGGATTGAGAGTCTAGCTAGCTGAAGTTGTAGGTCATGATGATTGGATTTATCCGGGGTTGGAGATTGGTTGTGGCTATGGTGGTGAAGCAACTGATGTCTCTGGTTAGTGAATTTCAAGTGATTGATTAACATCTAGTAGGAAAATCTCTAGGAAAGAAAATCTATAGTTTTAGAAGGCCTTTGACAGAATCTTGTGGATCACTAACTTTTAAATTTTTTTTAGTTTCATCTTAGCAAATTGGCACTTCCCCAAAGACTGTGCTAATTTTTTAAAATTATAAACTCCCTTTTTATTGGATAACACCAAGTGGTAGGAACCAGGACTCTCTTAATTGACTTGACAGTGTAAATATCAGTAGATTATAGTATCTTAAAAAATTATAACTTTATCTGTAGATAAATAGTTCTAAGGTTTCTATAAATCCAAATCAAGGCCTGCATGAATGAACAAATGAGTGAATAAAATCTGCTCTGCATTGGGAAACACTTGGCACTTGAGATGCCAGAGCACAAATATGTTTACTCCATGTGGATTAGACCTTTTACTAGACATATTTTGGTTCTCTAGGTAATTTTCAAGAACTTCATGAAATGAAAGAATGTTGGTTTCATTCAGGAAACCCATTTTCTTCCCTTGACCTCAAAGTTTCTCTATTGGGAATTAACAAGTGACTTGTAGTAGGTGTTTTCTAGGATCTTTCCTACACTTAAGTTGTACAGCTCTAAAGAATAGATTTTTAAAGCCAGACAGATGTAGATTTCTATTCTGGTTCTGCCACCTGGATGTCATGTAACCTGGGCAAGTAACTTAATGTTGGGGAGCTTTTCTCATCTGTAAAACCAAAATAATATTTTATGTAGATTTGTTTCAAGGAGTGAGCATGATAGCATATGTGAAAGTCCTTATTACAGTACTTAAGGTAGAAGAGTTGATTGATACATTTGTTGAAAACAAAACCCAAAACCTGGCGTAATGCTGAGCACATAGGGGATGTTGACTAAATACTTCTTAGTTGATTTAGTAATCTGGTATTTAAACACAGTAAGCAAAGTGCTTTCCCAGCCTGACTGCTAACTGAGATCTCTCTATTTTTAGATCCAGGGAAATCTCAGAATTTGAAACTGAGAGGCAAAGTCATTTACTTGGGTATTGGTTCCCTTGTTCTAGTTACACAAAGATGTCAGTATTACTTGATGTTGGTAGGAACTGCAACTCTGTGCTGAAGTGAGTTCTCTACCTAGCAGTTGTAACCTTTGTTTTTTGATTTCCCTTGGCTTGATAATAAACTACTAAGAACATAGAAATAATTTGGGTGGTAACCTCTTGAGCTTATCCAAAAATAGTGGGTTTACGTGTTCTTTCTTCAAATCTTCAGTGTAACTTTTGATAGGGGAAGTATACTGTAAGAATTTTCTCTAGGAAGCTGAATTTCTACCATTTAACAACAACATAGAATTTTTATATGAAAGTATGCAAATTTGAGAATTTCACTTATATTCTAAATATTCTTAGAGCTCTGAAGATGAGTGGGTTGAGGCTGTTCCATTCCAAACTCCTGGCAAGGAAAAGGCCTGGAAAGTGAAAGATGAAAAGGCAGGAAAACAAGAAGACAACCAAGTTATTCAGGTAAGTCACCTGATTTTAAATAAAGTGAGAACTTTTAAGAATAAGATAAATGTTAAAATCCAAGATGTAATTTTTTCAGGAGAAAAATTAGACCTTGCAAACCATATACTTTTATGAATAATGTTGGCAGTAATGCTGTTTGTTGAGCCTTTAGACTCCCCTTCTTCTCCTTCTGTGAGTGCTTATCTCTATTCTAGTCCCTCAGGGGGTTCCCTGCTTCTGGTTGTTGATAGAGCAGTGGCCCTTTCCCCTATGTACTTGAAGCCTTGTATTGTTACCTCTATCTTACCTTTCTACAGTGAGTAGAGTGCGGTCACAGTTTTTTCTCCCTTCACCTCTTGCCGTAATTGTTTTAGCAATCCTTAATAGTTGAATCGTTCACAAATTTTGGGTTATAGTTTGTATGCCTGAGGAAGAATGCAATTTATACACTTTTAGCCACGGTGAAGGAAGAATGTGAAAAGGAGCTAATGTTTGAGTGCCTGTTATGTGTCAGGCACTGCACTTGATGCCTTAAATCTGTTTTCTTGTGCATTCCTAAGAACAGTCCTGAAAGGTAGGGATTTGATCCCGTTTTATACGGGAGAGACTAAGAAACTTACTTCAAGTTTTATAGCCATATAGAATTTGATCCAGGTATTGAGTTCTAATCAATTTAGATCAAAATGGCTTTTTTTTTAGCAGAGGGATGAGTGGATGACTGTTGATTTTATGTCTGTTAAAACTGTGTCATCATCATCACTCAAAGCTGAAAAGGAAACTATAAGGAAAACAGAGCAAGAGAAAACCCAAGCACTTGAACAGGTAAGAGAATATTTAAAATGCTTTAACTTTCTAATTTGCCTTTAATAAATCGATAAGTACATTTATATAAATGCAGTTTTACTTGTGAAATATTATTTATCCTTTGTGATATTTAATAAAATTAATAGGAACAACTATGAAATGTATGTTTTTTTAAAATAAGTTCCCTGTAGGAAGTCAGTTTAGTGGTTTACTGGATTTATAAATCTAGGGCATATAACTATGTGTTTATGATTCGAGGGCTTGAACTATGCTACCTTTGTGGCCTGAAAATCTTTAAGGCGAGAATTTATTTTAAAGTGTTCTTGAGTTGGTAGTGCCTTGAAGTGCTTGGCAGAAGTAGCCACCAGTGCTTTCTAAAGGATCACACTGTCAACCTGGGCAACACAGATTTCCCAGAAATAAGTTCTATGGAATATAAACTCATAATCTCATATCACAAAATACATGAAATACAGGGATAGTCCTTGAATGAGAGTCATCTAAAATAGTAAACAGCAGAATTAGACCCACAAAACTTTTTATTTGTTGGAAGTTATATGTCTTACTTCAGCTCTCTGTGCTTTGTTTATGTCATCTGTACTGGAGCTGAGTTAATAATTATAATGAACTGCAGACAGCCCTTGGAACTAAGAGCCATTTAAGCTTAGATATTATTAGGGTTCCGGCCCTCATTTACTCTTGCCTGGGCAATTACAATAACCTCTTAATTTATTTTTCAGCATCCTGCAAATGATATCAGGTTAATTTTTTCAAAGTACAACTTTGATCATGGTATTATTCTCTTTAGAAGTCTTCAGTGATACAAGTTAAGGAGAATGTGTCTTGCCATTTCGAATGTTTCCTTTCTGGTGTAAGAAGTTTCACTGGTGTATTTCATGCTACCGCCTTTTCTCATTCTGTCTTTGAGGATATGGACTAAATTTTCTATTGGTTAATTTGGAAAGAGTAAACTGGGCATATTTGGTTTAGCTCTGCCTTTCCTGCTTATGGAACAGGCTGCCTCCAGAGACCGTGTGGGGAATGAGGTAAGGTGGGGGTTGGTTCAGTGCTTTCTTTACCTGGGAAAGTCTGCCTCAGTGTGGGGTTCAGCCCATTTGGCTTTCACTGAAAGAAAAATTCTCTTCTAATTTAGTCTTCATCAACAATAAAGGTAATTTTGTCTTTTATTTCCTTTGCTTTTATTTTATTTCTTAACTTGTTCAAAGCCTGGACTGAGAAGAAAGGTCCTGTATTTATTGTTTTTCATTAAAAACCCCAAAAAGGTGACTGCAAAATAGAGTCCAAACTCATTAGATTGATGTTTCAGGCAAATTTCTCTCTCTTAGGTAATTTGTACCTCAACCAAATTAATCACTCGGCCTCATATTTCTGTACAGATTCCTGTGTCTGAATTTTTGTTCATCTGGTTCTTTCTAGGTGAATTCCCTCTATCTCTGTATGTCTGCATCCTCTTTATCCTTCAAGGCCTAACTGAATATATACTTTGAAATTCTTCCTCTTTCCCTTGACTGAAATAAATCTCTCTTCCTTTATGTTTCCGTAGCACATTATTAGCTCCTTTACTATATATAGTATTTGTAATTTTCTGTAAAGTACTGAAATTTAATAGTCTTATCCTATTTCCCTTATGATATTATAAATGTTTTAAGAAACTGTTTTGTTTATATCTCCCTTAGCAACTAGTATAGAACTCTGCCTTTCTTAGGTGCTTTTTTATATATTTGAAATTGTAGATTACTGTTCTTTTCCCAATGAATTTTCCTTGCTGCTCTGTAAATCCCTGGATTTAGTTCTGAAGTTTGATAAGCTGTAGTGATTTTTGATTTTTGCTTAGGTCGGAATTCAGATTGTTGTGTATAAGTCAGTCATCTAGACTGGTGAGCGCGACTAGCCAATTTTCAAACATCTGCACATCAGCTTGAGTATGTTGTTCTCTGCACATCATCATATGCTTAAGACATAGTAAATATTTGGTTTATTTTGAGAAGAAATGGCTGTTGCCTTAAAAACAAATGTTAATTCTTGTAATGGGAGTGAGGATAAAGTGAAGACAATGGGAAGAATTCCAAAATAGTGGTCCTTAACTGAAGCTTCTGTGTGAAGCATGTTGATTTTACATCTTTTCCTGATATTGAAGATGTCATTTCTTTGGTGTTCTAGGCTAGTGCTTTTCAAAATGTGGGTTATGAAATTAATTTATTGCGATCAGCATTTGAAAATATAAGATATCAGCATGTATTACTTGTAATAAAGATATATTTTGTTTCCTGAAACCTTTGCTTTGGACACACATATACATAAAATCTCTCTGTAAGTCAAGATTATAAAAGTTTGAAAACCTTTTTGAAAAAACTATGTTTTTTGCATCTTTTTCTTTTCTTTTTTTTTTCTTTAAAGATTTTATTTTTTCCTTTTTCTCCCCAAAGCCCCTCCGGTACATAATTGTATATTCTTCATTGTGGGTCCTTCTAGTTGTGGCGTGTGGGACGCTGCCTCAGCGTGGGTTGATGAGCAGTGCCATGTCCGTGCCCAGGATTCGAACCAACGAAACACTGTCCCGCCTGCAGCGGAGTGCACGAACTTAACCACGCGGCCATGGGGCCAGCCCCTTCTTTTTTTTTTTTTAAAGATTGGCACCTGAGCTAACAACTGTTGCCAATCTTCTTCTTTCTTTTTTTTCCTCCCCAAATTCCCCAAGTGCATAGTTGTGTATTTTAGTTGTGGGTCCTTCTAGTTGTGGCATGTGGGACGCTGCCTCAACATGGCTTAATGAGTGGTGCCATGTCTGCGTGCAGGATCCGAACTCTGGGCCGCGGAAGCGGAGCACGCGAACTTAACCACTCGGCCACGGGGCCGGCCCCTGCTTATTTTTCTTATGGGGTTGCCTTTTTCTTACTAATTTTTAGTAGTTCTTTATATATTCATTCCTTTGTCTTTTGTATACATTTTCAGATAATATCTCATAATTTATCTAGCCTGTTGTCAATGTTCCTCCTCAGCCTTTTAAAAAATCCTATTGAGTATCTGATGTGTATCTCTTTGACTGTCTAGATGAGACCACTGGAAGAAATTCCTTGATTATAGATACTGTGAGATTTTGTAATAGGCTAACAAGGGAGGTGACACAGTCTTTTTTGGTACAAACTACTCTAAGAAATCAAATCCTTATGGTTTTGTTTATCCCTCTAAGTTAACCTTTAACTTAAATTTTGTCCTTTAAAGCTTCTGTACTTTTTTTGTCAGCTATGGATACTTTTTAAAAGCTTTTTTTAAAAGAAAATTTATCCAACATTTTGTTTTCAATAGCATGGTTATTTGATATTACTGGAAACTACCATTTAACTCTTTCTGTTCTTCTTCATCTAATTGCCATTATTAATTCTAATAATTGCCCTTATTAGTTCTAAGAAGCATTTTCTGACCTCCTGAGATCAAGTTAGGTACCCCTAGCGTGTGGTTCTATAGCACCCTTTACCTTTGTCGGACTTACCTATGTTAATATTGCTTAATTGTTTTTCTCCTTTCTCTAGACTATAATTTCTTTGATGGCAAGGACTATGCCTAGTTTATTTTAGTGTCAGTGCATGACATAGTGCACAGGAGGCACTTGAATTATAATTAGGCTGTCATCATCTCTTTTCTGATAGCTATTATAGTTTTCTGACTAGATTCCTGTCTCTAATCTTGCTCTTCTCGTCTTTCCTCCACTCGGAAATCACTTTGCTCTTTGTGTAATACAAGGCCGATCACTTTTGTGACTCACCATTGCCCCAGCATAAAACCCTAATAGCAGTTTAAAATGGCTTGTGTGGCCTAGTTAATGTCTTATCACTACTCACTCATGCTTCTAAGTTTTAGCCAGCCTGAATTAATTCAAGTTCCTTGAAAGTGTTGTGCCTTTTCTTTGCTCTAGGGTTTTATGAAAGCGCTATTATTCCTTCTACCTGGACCATCTTTATGCCCTGTCGCCCTAACAAAAGAAAATGTGGCTAATTCCTCTTCATTCTTATGCCTAAGACCGCACATGTTACTTCCTCTAGGAACTCTTTGATCCTTCAGTGTGAGAGGGGCTTGAATTCTGTGCGGCTTTAGCACTGTGTGTACTTCTGTCTTCAAAGCACATGTCAGTTACTTGTTTATTGTCTGTATTCCTATCTCGTAATCTGCCAAGGGCTGAGTTAGGCATATTGGGTGTTGTATCTCGTGCATGTAGCTCAGTTCTGATTCGTGTGGGCATTCAATAAAAGCATTGAATGAATGTTAATGTAGACATTTATTGCCTGCAAGTTGCAGAAGAGTATGTCTTAAAAGAGTATTTTAAATATTTGTCCAAGGTTACAACTGTTAACTGAATCTCAGATTTATTATTTATTAATATATTTTATGATGAGGTTTTTTAAAATTATGACCTTTAAAATGTTTTCTTCTAGTCCAGACTGCTGGAAAGAGAATTGAATCCATTCTGGAAGGATGGTGGGACAGGTCTTCCACCAGAAGACTGTAATGTATCATCAGTTACTAAAGGTATTCATATATTTTGGCTGTGGACACACAGGCATTTCTTATTACTTGGCATTAAGAGAATGATCTGAGTTTGTGGGTAGATTGGCAAGATGTATTATGAATTCCAAAAATGAATAATAACCCGCATCAGATTTTGCGATTTATTAACTCCAAAGTTTATCACTGGTTATTTAAGTATTTCTGCTTGATGCTGTAATTTTGATCAAGTCTGGAATTTTCTGTGTCTGCTTCTGTATTGGCAAAACAATGCTGGTTATTGATTATCTGATGTGAAATTTGTATGGCTTCATATTATGAGCATCTATGGATGATTTCGAAAGGTTCAGTTTACATATGACAAAACATTGATAAAATATTTGCAGTCTGGGGCTGGCGCGGTGGTGTAGCGATTAAGTTTGTGTACTCTGCTTTGGTGGCCTGGGGTTCACTAGTTTGGATCCTGGGAGTGGACCTGTGTACCACTTATCAAGCCATGCTGTGGTGGGTGTCCCACGTATAAAGTGGAGGAAGATGGGCATGGATGTTAGCCCAGGGCCAATCTTCCTCAGCAAAAAAAGAAAAAAAAGTTTGCAGTCTTTTGAGGTCTTATTTAAATTATTAGTACTTAGGATTATTTTTGATATATTTGGGAACAAATTAAGTGAATATGTATTTTTATGCTTGATAATGTTTTCATATTTGAGTTTCTATTTTGAATGGATTAATACAAAGTATGATTCTGTGAGGATAATAATAGTGCTTTGGTTTGTTACATTCTATAGCAAAATGTAAAAAGTATTAAGTCTGAAATTTCATGAAAATAATGTATAAACATTAAAGATGTGGTTTCATATCTTCAGAAATTCCTACTTTGCTGGCATTCATAAAATTTTCATTGACCTTAGGATAGTGCTGTTACTTTCCAGCAGATGGAGACAGAATATCTGTCACATAATCATACTTTATACCATAATTTAAAAAATATTTATATGCCAAATAAGTGTTGCATTGACAACTCTATGAAAAGTGTATTTAATTACAATTAACCCAGTATACAGATAGTATTGTAAATTATGATGTTATCTTTTCATGTTAGGGATTTATTTGTAGAATATTTTCCTGCTTTTTGTACATTGTTTTTATTTTGGCCATTTGTTAAAATTCTTTTGTATTTTATGTAGAGATGTCCCTAGAGCCACCTTATATGTACCTTTATAGTTTTTATTTAGCAGTTTACTTAAGTTAATAGTCATTGTAACATTTTCTTTATTGCCTTTCAGCATAGGCAGATATATCTCTGCTGGGGGATATAATATTAGCCGTAGTCATACAATGGTCTCTTTGAAATACTGTTTTTTAGAAACTTAAAAAATAGTTTGGGGAGCAGTAAGTTAGCTCAGTGAACCATTACTGTATAGGACTGATTTTATGATCTAAGCTTTTACCGCCTATATTGTCAGAGGACTGTCAGTACATTCATCTATGGGGAAAACTTAGAATTGACAAACCCACTCTTTGAGGATTTGCAGTCAGCAGGTTCTTAACTATACTGGGGAAGACCCAAAGTTCCACCTTAGGTGGTATCTTTCCCCTCACTGAAACAGCAGAATCAAAGACGCTGGGAGAAAAACCCTACATAAAGCTTTTAGAGAGCCTTTCTCCTTTCCCCTTCATATCACACTTTCCTTTCCCATAATCTTTATTTAGAAGGAGGGAAAATGACAGAAAGCTTCTGTCTGTGAGAGGCTCAGATCCCAGAGTTGAAATTGTTTAAAAAAATGATCTGCAGGTTTTTCTGCATATGCGGATAGTGGAGTTGTTGTGTTTAGACCAGTGGTAGGGCTGCAATGGTTAGGCGCCAAAGGTATTGTAACATTGGTATTAACGAGGTACGTGGAGATGACATAGTGTGTTTAGTTAAGGACTCTGACTTTGGACTTTAGCTACTTGGGATTAGAATTTTGTCATTTCCACTTATGATTTTGGGAAAGTTTCCAGACCTCTCTGAGTCCAGTTTACTCATCTGTAATGGTGAATAATGATAGTGTCTATCTTATATAGTTATTGTGAGGATTAAATGAGAAAATCTTTTAGCACAGAATCTGGAATATAGTAAATAATAATGATGACAATGGCAAATACTTGTCCTTATGATTAAATGTTTTGGGAAGTTTTTTTTTTTTTTTTTAAAGATTTTATTTTTTTCCTTTTTCTCCCCAAAGCCCCCCGGTACATAGTTGTATATTCTTCGTTGTGGGTCCTTCTAGTTGTGGCATGTGGGACGCTGCCTCAGCGTGGTTTGATGAGCAGTGCCATGTCCGCGCCCAGGATTCGAACTAATGAAACACTGGGCCACCTGCAGCGGAGTGTGCGAACTTAACCACTCGGCCACGGGGCCAGCCCCTTGGGAAGGTTTTATCAACAGTTTTTTGTAATGATTGAGGCGCTATATTTTCAATAAATAATTCATTAACCTTGATTTTTTTCCTTAGAGAAATTTAGGTGGAAAAGTAAGTAGACCATTTGCAGGGTCTATACAAAATTATTTTTAATCTATTTTAGTAATGGGAATATTTGTACAATTTTAAACTTTAGGTGGCACATTTATATATCAGCTTATTTTCATAGCAACCATGTGAAGATAGCAAAGTAGATGTTGTAATTTTATAGCTCAGGAAACTAAGGCTAAGAGTGGCCAGGTAATTTGCCTGTAGTCGTGTGACAGTACTAGAACCCAGGTCTTCCGAGTCCTAGTCCAGGGTTAGTTACTTTAGATTCTTCCTTAGAAGGCTGCATTTGTTCCATGTAGTTTGTAGAAATTCTTGTTTACAAACTCTTTCGATATGTTTTTGTTCTTCCTATAGGTTTTTTCTTCTGTTTTTTTTCTTTTTTTTTTTGCTTCTCGTTTAGAATCTTTTGAGTTGGAAGAAATTTCGCAGGTGGTTTAAATCAACTGCCTTGTTTTACAGATGCAGAAGCAAAGGTTCCAAGAAGTTAATGACTTGCTTAAGATCACAACTATTTAGTAGTAGCAGCAAGACTGAAATCTGGGTCTCCTGTTATTTAATTTATTGCTATTTTTATATTATCCTATCTTCTGAGAAAAATAGGGAATGTATCCTAGATTCATTTGGTTGTATTTTGTCTATAGCAATATAACTTTTAATTATGATGGATGCATATACTTCAGTCTCAATTTTTGACTTATAAAAAACATATTTCAGATATAGGTATACATTAAGTGCTGCATGCCAATGAACTTTCTATAATTATTTGATATACCTTTATCTCAGTATAGAACAGGGACTGCGACTTAAGTTTTTACTTCCTACTGTGCTTAACAAATTTTAGTTAGTAAATATTCACTGTTTGTTAGATTGAATTTCCTGCTACATGATGCTGTAGGTTGGTATTTTTTGTTTGCTTTTTAAATATTAAATTTGGTGATTTCTCTTGTTAAAGATATTTCATTATTGACATCTCTAATTATAAGATTAATAAGATTATTGAAATAGAACATAAATTCAACTAAAGGTAACATTATTATATAAATATTTCTAAAGTGTGGATTTTACTCATGACTGAATTGGCTAAACATTTTTATTCCTGTTAAATTTTCTTGATAAATGTCAACACAGAGGAATAAAAGCAGTCTTACTTTTTCTCTGAGTTTTTTTTCTTTTTCTAAACTGTGTTAATGGCGATTGTTCAGGAAATTTTCACTATGCTTATCGGCACTTCATCAGTCACAGAACTCTTCGGAATAAAGAATTTAATTATATAGCTGGGACATTAACACTGTAAATTGCAGAGTTAGACTCTAACTTTCTTGGGTAGTTGCATTGTTAATTTTGAACTCATAAACTATGTAAATAAGGGAAAAAAGAGCAAGAGCAAAATAAACTTGAATGAAAAATGAATCATTGAGTTAACTAGAGATTTAGGTTTTGAAGTATAATATATTTTAGACCTGTAAAGAAAGAACACATTATCTTAGAAGAGATTACTAAGTAAAGATAAACGTTGAGATTTAAATGAGGAACTAGAATTAGTTGAGGATTGAAAAATCTGTTTTTTATTTAAGTAAACTTTTTATTGAAGTTTAACACATACACAGAAAAGTACACAAAACATAAGTATACAGACTGATCATTTTCACAAAGTGAAAATGCGTGTAATCAGCACACAGTTTTAGAAACAGAACATTATTAGTATCCCAAAAGCTCCCTTTCTGGTCTTTCTAGTCAATAGCTCTTGCCAGAAAGGTAACCACTATTCTGTTTTCTAGCACGAAAAATGAGTTTTTCCTGGAATCATACACCCTATCCTCTTTTGTTTCCTGCTGCTTTTGTCCACATTTTCAGATTCATTCATGTTGTTGTGTAGAGTTGTAGTTATTCATTCTCATTGCTGTATAGTATCTATTTTAGGAAGATATAATCTATGATATATATGTCTATTTTACTGATGATGAACATTTGGGTTGTTTTCAGGCTAGGATTACTGCAGATTTTTCTGCTGGGAACATTTTTGCACCCGTCTTTTGGGGTCTGTGTGTGCACGTGGTTTGTTGGTTATAGAGCTGGGGTGATGTAAAGCAGTCCTATTCTGGGCAAGGAAAATCAGAGCAGAGTTTTGACTTAAGTTAGATTTCCTCTTTATGCGTATCAAAAGTTTGATGTATGTAGAAGTAAATATAGGCAGCTTAATAATTTTGTTGAAGACATTCAGTTTTTATAGTTGGTAATCACGACTAAAGTAGAATAATTTGGTTTAATATAAATTTCAGCATTATTGTCTATAATTTCCTTATTTGTTCTTTGTACTGTATTTGAGATAGCTTTCCCCCCATGTGTGTATCTTTATTCCTTATTTATTTCTGGGAATGCCCTGCCTATTCTTATCTTTGTTCGTAAAAAACCAGGTCATTTGTTTGAACCTGATTTGTGAAATTTTCCCAGACCTCACATTTAGAAGTAATCCTTCCTTTTCTCATTTTTCTATAGCTCTATATCTTTTTGTAATCTTTATCACATATTATCTTTATTCTAATTATTTATCCTTTTATCTTCATTCTCTTATATTACGTTTTTTTGAGGATAGCTTTATTTATTTTTTCCTTGCTCAGAGTTATAAAACTCTATACCTTGCATATTTGGGTATTCAGATATATGTTGAATTTAAATGCTGTTATGATTTTTATATGTTCAAGGAATAATATTTTATACTTAAGACGTCTTCATAGAAACAATAAGTATTCTGTCATAACCACATGAAAAGTATAACTGACATTTAATATTGGAATTTAGTTTCAGTGGTAGAAGACGGTGGTTTAAGCTGGCTAAGAAAGTCTTATCAAAGAATGAAAGAACAAGCTGAGAAACAACATAGAAGTTTCGAAGATATTGTAGCTGAAAGATATGGGGTGAGTAGTGGTAGTAAGGAGATATATGTTATTTTCAGAGTTATATGAGAAATTGTCGTTATCTTTGTCAGTGTTTTGTGTGCTGAAACAGTTTTGAATTGGATTGGTATTAAATTTAAAATATATATACTGTTGAAGCTATTTTCTGCTTTTCATAATTATGCAAACTTATGGAGCATATTTTTATTGACATAATGAATATAAGACTAAAGTACGTAAAATGTAAGTGTGTGTGTTTAATGTAAAAATAATATTTTATCATTGTGAGAAAATTTAAATGGTACAGGAAAGCCTCCATAGTATACCCCTGGAGGTAACCACTGTTGAAATTTTGGTGTATTTCAGTGTATTTGGTTTATTGCAGAGTTTTTGTTATGTTTGAGTTTTGGAATGTAACTTTCTTTTTAAGAATATACTTTTAAAACAGTGGAACCATGCAGCAATACACAATATTTTAGAACCAGCTCCCCCATTCACTGGGTGTGGATAATCTTTCTATTTCAGTAGCTATTGATGTCCTTTTTAAAAATTATTTCCAGAGGAAAGCAGGTTTAGAAAGTAGTAAGGTTTTGAAAACATAGGCAAGCCAAAAAAGAAAAAAAAAAGGAGAGAGAAAACTCATCCTTATTTTTAAGAGTATCTTTAACATTTTAATGTGTATTTTTCCAGATTTTTTTTCTGTTTGTTATATACTTTTAAAATAGTTTCATAAAAGTAGGCTCATAGAATACTTCCTGCTTCTTTCACTTGCTAATATAGACATATTTGGATGCCAGTAAATATAAACATTTTAATGACCTCTTAGTATTTCATCTGTTTATGTGGTTTTACCATTATTTGTTTATTTAATTGCCAGTGAGGGGACTTTATATATTTTTATTTTTTCCCCTATTAAGTAGCACTGTGCTGACCATCTTTGTCCAGTGCATTTTGCATACTTATCTGATTATTTTCTTAAATGAATTATTAAAAATGAAATTGCCGTTTTAAAGGATATAGACATTTGAAGTAAGATATATATTGCCAAATTTCTCTACAGAAAGATTGAACAAATGCTATTCTTATTAGAGTGACTCTTTTATTACATGAGTTTCAACAGTAGGATTATCATTCTTTATAGTCTGTGCTACTGTGATTGGTAAGCAAACTTTTTCTTTGGTTTTATTTTTATACATTTGTTTACTACTGAATTGGAATTAAAAAAATTTTTTCTTGACCATTTGTGTTTTTTAAGTGAATTGATTATTGATAGTATTTACCCATTTTTCCTTTGGGACATTGATTTAAGATCTTTAAGTAAATCTTTTCAAATTTCTTCCTCTTAGTTTCATGTTTGTTTTTTACTTTGTTTATATGTATGTGCTATGGATACATTTTAAATATTTTTACCTGACAAAATCCATCAGGTTGTTTTTTTCTCATGACTTAATTCTCTATTGTAATTCATTGACAAGCTTTCTCCACTCCCCAAATGATAAAAATGTGCACCTATGTTTCCTTTGAGTAGTTGTTCAGTTTTATTTTTTTATGCACATCTTTAATCTTTCTGGAATATGTATTTGTGTATGGTATAAAGTAGATGTTTACCTTTCCTTAAGTCTTTAGATTAGTTGTTTACAATATATTAAATGAATCATTCTTTTCCCACTAATTTGAAATGGCACATTTATTATATATTAAATTGTCTTGTATGGAATGAATCTTTTTTTTTAATTTTTTTTTATTTTTTCCTTTTTTTTTTCTCCCCAAAGCCCCCCAGTACATAGTTGTATATTCTTCCTTGTGGGTCCTTCTGGTTGTGGTATGTGGGACGCTGCCTCAGCATGGTTTGATGAGCAGTGCCATGTCCGCACCCAGGATTCGAACTGACGAAACACTGGGCCGCCTGCAGCAGAGCGCGCGAACTTAACCACTCGACCACGGGGCCAGCCCCGGAATGAATGTGTTTTTTACTCTCAAATCTATTCCGTTAATTTTTCTGTTGTTTCTTAGAATTAGTATCATACTGTTATGATTATTGTAGTTTTCAATAACTCATTTAGATAGAGAATGATTATTGAACACCTATTCTGTGGCAGGATAAGTCTTTTATTAGTCATTAAAAAATTGGCTTTTCAGAGTCTGGCTGGTGGCATAGTGGTTAAATCTGCATACTCCACTTTGGCAGCCTAGGGTTCACAGATTTGGATCCCCGGTGTGGACCTACACACCACTCATCAAGCTATGCTGTGGTGGCATTCCACATACAAAGTAGAGGGAGATGGGCACAGATCTTAGCTCAGGGCCAATCTTACTCAGCAAAAAGAGGATTGGTAACTGATGTTAGCTCAGGGCCAATCTTCCTCACCAAAAAAAAAATAAAAAAAAAAACAATTAAAAATTGTCTTTCCTTCTTATGTGCTCATTTATTTTTGTTAAATTTAGAATTATTTTGTCAAGTTCAAGCTCTGCAGAAGAAAACGTTTTTCCAAAATCCATAATAAATTTACAACTCTGAAATTTTGATTTAAATTTAACTAAATGTATAGATACATCAGGGACACTTAATATCTTTATAATGTTGAGAAATCTCATCCTAAAATATTTCTCTAGTCGTATTTATATTCTTAAATGAACTTCTCTGTGTAGTTATTATGTGTGTGTTGTTAAGGTTATTTTTAATTCTTTTTTTAATTGTATATTACATTTTTTTCCCTTATGTTTTCTGACTGGATGTTGGTGATAGTCTGCCAGTTTTCTAAACTCTTGTCATTAAATCTAACTTTTTTTTTAATTGGGTTATCTGGGAAAATTGTTATATGCAAGTGATGATTACTTTTGCTTTTCCCCCCTCACTATTATAGTATTTAAACTTTCTTGTCTTCTTGAGAGAATTTCAGAACTTTGATAAAAGAACTGGAAGTTAGTTTTCTTGTCTTCCTGTGTTTAAATTATGACTTCCTGCATTTAAGATGAAGATTATCATGTTTAAAAAGTATCCTTGCATTCAAAGTTTAGTCAGAGGTGCTTTTTTGTTTGTTTGCTTTTGTTCTTAAGTTAGGAGTGGGTGTCTAATTTTCATGAAATAACTTTTATGGAATCCTTTGAGATGGTGTGATTTTTTTCCTTTTACTTTTTAATGAGATGAATTACTTTAATATATTTTCCAGTGTTGGACCATTCTTGCGTTCTTTGAATGATTCCCAATTTGATCATGGCATTTCCTTTAATATACTAATGAGTTAAATTTGTTAATATTTTATTTTGAATTTGTATCTTTATATATATATGGCCTTTTGTTTTCTTTTTATCTTATTTTTATTGTTTTCATAGTAGGGGTTATTAAATTTATAATTTTAATTGTGAAGTTTTATGTAATTTCTTAATGCTTTGGAACAGTTATAGAGTGAGGCATTTTGACACAGTAGTTAAAAACATTAGCTTTGTAGTCAGATAGTCCTGAATCTCAATATCAGGTTTGTTACTCTTTTGATGTGTGACCTCAGCTTCCTTTTTTTTCTTCTTTTTTGTGGAAGATTGGCCCTGAGCTAACACCTGTTTCCAGTCTTCCTCTTTTTGCTTGAGGAAGATTGTTGCTGAGCTAACACCTCGGCCAGTCTTCCTCTATTTGATGTGGGATGCCCCCACAGCATGGCTTGATGAGGAGTGCTAGGTCTGTGCCTGGGATCCAAACCTGCAACAGTACTGTTATTCTTGTTTTGTAAATGAGGAAACTGAAGCAGACAGAGGTTAAATAACTTAACCAAGATTACATGGTTGATAAGTATATTTGAACCTAGGTATTGTTTCTAAAGCTCACGTAAGTGATGCAAAAAATGTAATATAATAAGCATTGGATAAATTGTGGTAACTGCTGTTTTTGTTGTTTTTATTATTACTATATTTTATTGAATCTAAGGAGCTACTAATTGTAGAGACACCATTATTTCATGTATCACTAAAAAAGGATAAAGCTGCCTATGAGGAATTGTTTTATTTATGAAAGTATTCTCCCCACCACTGCCATCATTTCTGTTTTATTCATGGTGTCATTAAGTTTAAGAAACACATTAAACCTGTATTTTTTTTTTCTTTTGAGGAAGTTTAGTGCTGAGCTAACATCTGCTTCCAATCCTCCTCTTTTTGTTGAGGAAGACTGGCCCTGAGCTAACATCCATGCCCATCTTCCTCTACTTTATATGTGGGACACCTGCCACAGCATGGCTTGACAAGTGGTGCCGTGTCCACACCTGGGATCCGAACTGGCAAACCCTGGGCCGCCAAAGTGGAACATACAGAGTTCACTGCTGTGCCACTGGGCCAACGCCTAAACCTGTATTTTTAAAATAATTTTAAAATATGACATGTTATAGATTGTCTCTTCCTAGTCTAAGATGGTAACTTTAGGATATTTTGATCCTCCATCTCACCTGTTAGATTTTATTGAAATTAGTTAAAATTTTAATTCTAGTTTATTGCAAATTAAAAACATATCTTTTATTCTTGACAATTGTACTCAGCTTCACAACTGCAAGAACAATTATTTAGACCTAACCATTATATTTGCCATTTGGTTTATAGCATGCCTTCCTTTTTTCACAGATCTTTGCCCTTATTCATTTATGGTTTGACTTAATGATCCTGACTAATTTTTCCCCCCGAGTTAGTAAGTGACTTGCTTTCTGATTCCTTGTGATTTTGCAGATGACTTTCTTTTGTCCATACCAGGGAAGGATAGTTGGACTGTGAACTGAATTCTCTATATAGAATTATTGACTTATAATTCTTTTCAAAATTTGATCTTTATTCCTTTATCTTCTAGCACTTAAGTGTTGTAGATGAAAAGTTGATAACGGTCTTACTTTCTGTCCTTTCTAGGTAATATGTTATTTACCTACTCCTATTCATTTCCATGCTCATTACTCCCTCCTTCCCCTGATCCAGTCTTTGTGAATAGTTTTTGTGTGTGTGTGTGAATTTTGAGACTCAGGCATTAGAGTTTTTTTTATGTATGAAGCTTTGTATGCTTCACTGTCTCCCCTCCTCTAAGGCTATTGGATGAGTCCTTCAGATCTGGAAAATTATCTGGGGAAATCTTCTTATGTTATTATTACTTTGTTAGCGTTTTCTTCTATCATCTTTGCTTTTTCTTTCTGGAAGTACTAGTATACATGCATATTAGATTCTTTAGAATTAATTGTCCATGTGTCTTTTTCCCTTATAACTTACATCTATTTACCATCTTTTCCTAAATATAGAGAATTCCCAGGCTAATGCTGAATTGACTAATTTGGGTTCAACATTTTCTGTTTTTCTATTCACTATCTGTGTGTTTTTAAATACACAGTTTTCATTTATAAGTCTTTCTTGTTCTTGATCTGCTCTTTTTTCATGAGAGTCTATTATGTTTTAGCAGTGTAGTAGTCTCTTGAATCTCACTGATAGTTGGAATTATTTAAAAAAAATTTACATCTTTACTGTTTTCTGTATTATATTTTGTTTTAGTGCTAGGTGTTTCGTCTAAGTAGCTTCTCTTGATCTCTCAGATTTTTTTTGTTATTTTAGTAATTTTTCGTTAATTACTCTTTTTTTTTTAAGTTCATTTTAGAGTAGTGTATTAGTTTGCTAGGGCCGCCATAACAAAGTTCCACAGGCTGGGTGGCTTAAACAACAGAAATTTATTTTCTCACAGTTCAGGAGAATAGAAGGCTAAGGTCAAGTTGTCAGTAGGTTTGGTTTCTTCTGAGTCCTCTCTTCTTGGCGTGTAAATGGCTGCCTTCTCGCTGTGTCTTCACGTGGTCTTTTCTCTGTACGTGTGCATTCCTGATACCCATGTGTATCCAACTTTCTGCTTATGAGGACATGGATCAGATTGGATTAGGACCCAGCCTAACGCCCTCTTTTTAACTTAATCATCTCTTTAAAGGCCCTGTCTTCAAGTGCTGTCGTGTTCTGAGGTACTAGTGGTTAGCACTTCAACACATGAATTTTGTGGGGGAGGAGGGGCACAATTCAGCCCATATCAGTTGAGATGATTGCGTGGGTCTTTTTTTTCCCTTTCTTGAGTTTTTCTTTCATTGTGCTGCATGATAGTGTATCATGACACAAGGGCATATAGGGTACAAGTGATTGAGCCTTTTTTAATTTTAGATATCTTGTTTAACTTTTTTCCTTTGTAGTCGATGGAAATATTTCAGTCAAAATTAGAAGACGCTGAAAAAACTGCATCCACAAAAGAAGATTGTAGACGAGAACGGTGGAGGAGACCAACGTATTCAGATAAAGCACAAGGTAGTCAAGAAAGTAGAAAATCAGACTTGGTGAAATATAATAAAACTTCAAGAGATAGATATAGCACAACAGATATTGCAAACAGTTTCAATAAAGATAAGTTTAGTGGTGATGCGAAAGATAATAGCTCTGGGTCTTCAGAAACGTGTAGAAAACAGTCTCATCCAAGGCAAAATCAAGAATTTTCCTCTCTTGGAAATCTGAGACCTAAATTCTTAAGACCCTCTGATGATGAGGAACTGTCATTTCATTGCAAGGGCAGAAATTTTGAACCACCTAGTTCATCTTCAGCACCAGTCTCTCGGGATTCTATGCATCGTGGTTTTCAGAAACCCACAGAGAACAGTGAGGAAAGTTTACCATCATGGAGCCGATCTGATGGGAGAGAAGGAAACAGCAAACAGTCATATCAAAAGCCAAGAGATACCAGTTGCAGTGCTGATGATGGTCCTGTTTCAGAAGACGCGCGAGAAGAATCACAGGATGAAAGCTTGAGAGATGACACTCTGAAAAAAGAACATCTACAGGACACAAAGTCTTCATTTGCTGGGTATTTTGTCATTTGTTTTTTAAACTGATAAATGAATATTAAAGTCCAGAGTATTCAAAGAACTGAACTGCATTTTTAGGACATCAGTTGTTAATTAGAGTTATGATTTCCTGTTTCTTAAATTTGATGGAAGAGATAACATGCACACTTAACAATTTAGTAGTTTCATTTTATGGATTGCATTTCATTTCACAGTTTTATTTAACAGAAAGAGCTAGAAGAATTCAGTAGCTGTGTTTGCTCAAACTTTGTTGCTTTTTTGCAGTTTAAAAAGCAGTGAGTTAATAATCCTTCCAAATGGATGTGCTACAGGAGATATTTTGGTAGATTTTGTTAGTGCTGTCATATTACTTTCAAAGGAAAATACTCTGCTGTTAAGTGTAATCATAATTGTATATATAGCCTGCTGGATTACTGAAGGAAAATATGCTGCCATAGTCCAAATATGAAGTGAAAAAGATAGGTGGAAGATTGTGCAGAGGGAAGCATGGGTTATGGTGGTTGTTTTGCAGAGAAAGAAATAATCACTTTTGACAATTGACAGGTTTTAAAGGTAATGTGAGAGTTTTAAAAGCAAAATATACGTAGGATAGTGGTTGTACCTATAGTGATTAAGAAAATAGGTAGCACTTACTAGTTTTATTATTCTTGTACCTATTGCACTTACATATAGGGCTGGGAAAGTAGAACAAGAAACCCAGGTTGAGTGGGATCATACCTGGGAGAGCTTGATTCAACCATTGACTGGCCCTATTGGAGATAGCCGTAAATAGAAAATAAGTATTCAAAGGATAATGACTAGCTTATTTGAATAATCATTAGGATATGTTAAAAAAAATACCACCAATTGAATGGGACACTAAGGGAAGAAGTTTTAGGAAATGATAGAATTCAGTGATATGTCTGAGTATTGTCATTTGGGGATGTGAGTCTGGTAAATTACTTTTGTTAATGACTCCATCTGAAGCTGTGGATTATAAAGCACAGTGTGTAGCTTCCAGTGGGAGGAGGCTGGCAAATCTGGACTGAGTGATAGGAGCCCCAGGCAGATGAGCTGTGGTTCAAGTCAAGGCTTTGATCTCAGGAAACCAAAGGAGAAATCCAGTCGTATTGACTGGATAAACATGGCAGGGATTAGAGAGTGTCTAAGGCTATATACATATATGGTTCTCCAGGCTTCACCCTGGGTATTCTCGGAGGTTGACTGTTTCCAGGCCCCAGTTGCTAGTGGGATGAAGCCCATATTTCCTGATATCATTAGGGTTGGCTTAGCATTCGGGCAATCTGTGGGTCTTCTGTAACTGCAGCTAAGCAGAGTCTGTGAAACAGTCTTGCACTGTTAGTATTCATTCCATCTGATTCTCTAGTAGCTTCATATTTGTATGTCATATTTAAATTGTAAGCTTCTGATAGATGTACTGCAATATAGGCACTCACTAAAAGCTATATTTTTTGGTCTGAAGACAGTATTCTTTGTTTGCTGTGTTAATTTTAATGTTATAGTGGGTTTGAGGCTTTCCATGAATTCCATGATTGATTGGAGAGGGAAGGAAGAATCTAGGACTTATCCACATATGTGTGAAAGAAAAAATAATTCCTGAGCATGTAAAGTGGTGTAAAGTGAAAGACCAACGTAGGACCTTGAAGAATGCCTATTTTCAGGGGCTAGAAAGATTCAGTGAAGAGTTGTTAGAAGCTGTTAGTTTGTCTGAACATTATCCTGAGTATATGTTGAATTCTTTATACAATGCCAGAATTCTAGAGACCTATAGAAGCAGTGAATTTTAGCACTAGGAAAAAAATCAAAGAACTAATTTTAGAACTAGAAGAAATCACAGTCTGACCCCTGCATTTTCCAGATGTGTAGAGTGAGGCAGCTGAGGTTGTGATGTGCACAGTGTTATGCAACTAGGGTTGCCAGATTTAGCAAATAAAAAGTAAGTCCCTTGCAATATTTGGACATACTTATACTAAAAAAAATTTGTTGTTTATCTGAAATTCAAATTTAACTGGATGTCATGTATTTTCTCTGGCAACTGTTTATAACCCTTAGCCATCTCCTGGGTCTGTGACCTTTTTAAAAGAGATAATATATATATATAATATAATTATATATATATAAAACTTAATACAATATGTATTTAAGTTACGTAGCTTCATAATATATACTGTTCTGAACCTTTTTCCCAATTGATGCATCTTAAAGATCTTTTTACATCAGCTCATATGTATGTACTTTTTTCATTTTAAAGGCTGTTTAATATTCTATTGTGAGACTTAGATATGAGCTAGTATTTCTCAGTAGTCTCCTGTTGATGGACTTTAGGTTGTTTCCACTTTGATATTCTTATAAACAGTGCTGCAGTGAATAGTTTTGTATATATATCTTTGCACACTATTTAAATTGAACTGTAAAATTCCAAAGAGTGGAAATGTATTTGTATGTTTTGTTGTATTAACCACTTGGCATTCTTACCAGTCATATGAGAATGACTTTTCCTTTACTTCCTTGCCAATAATATTATGAGCTTATTTTAATCTTTTCCATTTACATGGTTGAGAAACATAAATTTTTTCTTTTTTTAAAGATTGGCACCTGAGCTAACATCTGTTGCCAATCTTCTTTTTGTTTCTTTTCTTCTGCTCCCCAAAGCTTCCCGGTACATAGTTGTATATTCTAGTTGTAGGTCCTTCTGGTTGTGCTGTGTGGGATGCTGCCTCAGCATGGCTTGACGAGCAGTGCCATATCCATGCCCAGGATCTGAACTGGCGAAACCCTGGGCTGCTGAAGCAGAGCACGCAAGCTTAACCACTTGGCCATGGGGCCAGCCCCCATAATCTTTTCTTGATTTGCATTTTTTTAAGTATGGGGAACTTGGGCATATTTTTATAAATATTGTTTATTTTTATTTTATTTTTGGTAACTAGTCATATGTTTTGCCTACTCTTTTTATTTTTGGAAGATTAGCCCTGGGCTAACTAACATCTGTGCCCATCTTCCTCTACTTTTTATGTGTGGGATGTCTGCCACCGCATGGCTTGATAAGTGGTATGTAGGTCTGTACTCGGGATCTGAACCCTGGGCTGCCAAAGCGGAGTGTGTGACTGTAACCACTATGCCACAGGGCCGGCCCCTGTTTTGCCTCCTTGTTGAGTGTTTTATTTTTGAGAGCTATTTATAGTTGTCATGTAATGTAAATAATTTTTTCATCATCTGTAGATTTCCTTTTTTCTTCTTTCTTTACTTTCGTGTTTTCATCCGTTCTTTCATTCATTCATGATCAGATTTATCACTCTTTTCCTTTGTCCTTTTTAGGCCTTGCAATTATCTTAAGTAGCCAGTAAACATCCTTCAGTAGTGGCCCCTGTGATAAAGAACTTTAACCTTCTTATTCTTAGAACTGTGTTTGTATATGTTTTTATTTTGTTGGAAAATATATTATCTATGCACTTTCAAAAGTTTGAAACCTAGTGTAGTATGTATTACAAACAAAAACTAATGTGATGTCATTAATTTAGATTTTATAAAGTTAATATCAGGATCTAACCTATTTTATATAATATTTTAACCTTTGGATGTCATTCTTGGCAGTGTTTGCTGTGGTAGCCCAGAAGGACAAGAGAAGGGAAGCCATGTTCTGGAGGCTTTGGCTATAGTCGTGAGATCCTTAGATAGGGGAGAAAATTTGAGAACAGTTGGTAAGAAAAGAATACTTAAAGCAAGGAGATCTGTGAACACTGCCAGCAGGCAAAGAATAATTGCAATATACTCAAGGTTTCTGAAATGTCATTGGCTGGACCTCTTTTAATTACTTCTTCTTAGGGAGTTTTCAGCCAGAGTTGCATGTGCGTTTGTGTGTGTTGTAAAGAGAATACATTTTAATGGGAAAATAAGATTTACTTTTTAGAAATTAATTATAAACAGGATTTCTGAAATACAAAAGTAATCCTGGAAAATGAGAAACAAGTACTTTTATCTTTTGGTAGGATAATTGCAGATGTTATGGTGATGTTTCTTTCAAAACATCTGATCATCTTTATAAACACTTAGGGAAACTAAGGAAGAGTGTGTTCCTTGCTGTTTGCTCCACAGCAGTGTCTTTGCTGTGGTATAAACAAAATAAAATAATGTATTCTTCAGTCATTGTGTGCCCAACAATTCTCAGTGTCTTTATTTGATACTTATTACTGTTCTATTAAGTGTGTTGAAGTATCTGTTAATATTGAAAATACTAGTACGAGATATTCAGAATTCTTGTATATCGTCTCATTTATCCTCATTTACTTTCCATCTACTGATAAATAATTTAATTCCTGTTAGAAAACTTCCCCACCTCCTCAACAAAAGATGTGTGGAGTATGAATTTCATGATAATGAAAGTAGCCTCTTTTAATGGTTCCTTGAGATTCCAGTTATCTCATTGAAACTCGTGAGCTTTGGCTGGACTTCAGTATACCTTCATTGCCCTCTCTCTTGATTGAATCTTTAAGCTTGCATAATGAGAAGTGAAGGGAAGAGTAAAGTAAAATGTCAAAGATGTACCTTTGGATGGACAATAATAGAGGTCTTTGGCTATTTAATCAAAAATATTATCATTGTAAAAGAGGGTTTATAAGCCAGATTTCAGTAGGCTAAATTAAGATTATGGGTTATGAGATGGTAGAGATAGAAAGTATATGTGGGAGACATGGGTTAAATGAAGTGCCTCCCTCACTCTCCCTTTTTTTTTCTTTTAGGGTGCAGATACTTGAATATACTTATATTTTAATGGAAAAGAGTCAGTATCAATTTTAGAAGAAGCTAAACATATAGAGAATTGATAGATGGGATAATTGAGCAAGATCCCAAGGTCAGTGTGGATGAATGTAGGATCCAGTAAACTCAACAAGTAGAAGGATTAGCCTGGGGTGGAAATGTTAAAGAAGAGGAAACTGTGGCTAACGATTGTGGGTGACATGAGAAAATTATAGGAATTCTTACTTGATGACTTAGGTAAGTG